AGGGAGAAGCACGTTCCATGCTGAGCAGGGAGCCCGATGCGGGGCTCGATCCCAGGACCCTGGGATCATGACCTGAGCCGAAGGCAGATGCTTAACGACTGAGCCACCCAGGCACCCCAGTATTAACTCATATTGTAGTAGGTAGCAGTACTTCATTCCTTTTTATGGCCAAATAATATTCCATTGTATGGATAAACTGCATTTTGTTTATCCATTCATCACTTGGTGGACTTTTGGGTTATTTCTGCTTTGGGGCTATTATGAATAGGCTGCTATGAACACTTGTGTATACTTTTTGTGTGGACGTATGTTTTCACTTCTCTTGGGTTATATACCTAGGAGCAGAATTGCTGGGCCATGTTTCCTTTTTGAGGAATTGCCAAAAAATGCTGCACCATTTTACATTCCCACCAGCAATGTATGAGCGTTCCAGCTTCTCCACATGTCACCAACTCTTACTATTTTTGTCTTTTTGATTATAGCCATCCTAGTGACTGTGAAGTAGTATCTTATTGTGGTTTTGATTTGCATTTCCCTGATGACTACTGGTGCTGAGTATCTTTTCTTGTGCTTACTGGCCATCTGTATATCTTCTTTGGAGAAATATATCTTCAAATCCTTCACCCATTTTTAATTTGGATTATTTACCTTTTTATTGTTGAATTGTAAGAACTCTTTATATATTCATCAAATATATGATTTGGAAATATTTTCTCCCATTCTGTAGGTTGTCTTTTCACTTTCAAAGTGTCATTTTTTCAGTACAAAATTTTTTAGTTTTGACAAAATCCATTTACCTATGTTTTCTTTTGGCATTTATACTTTTGGTGTCATACCTAAAATACTATTGACTAATGCAAGGTTGTGAAGATTTATTTCTCTGTTTTCTCCTGACAGTTTTATAATTTTTGGTCTTCTATCTTGGTCTATGATCTGAATGATTGGACAGGTCTCTTCCAGTGCCGTGATCATGTTTTTCCCCAGTGATTTTTGGTCAACCTTAGACTGAAGAGCCCCTCCCCCACCCCAATCCTTTTCTACTCATGTACAGATTAACCTAAATCATTTATATTGTGATTCCTGAGGTTTTAGGGGCTGGGTGTGTATATAATAGGTATAATATTTGTTGGGGCGCCTGGGTGGCTCAGTTGCTTAAACATCTGACTTTTTTTTTTAAAGATTTTATTTATTTGACAGAGAGAGAGATACACAGGGAGAGAGAGAACTGTAAGCAGGGGGAGTGGGAGAGGGAGAAGAGGCTTCCCGCTGAGCAGGGAGCCCAATGCAGGGCTCGATCCCAGGACCCTGGGATCATGACCTGAGCCGAAGGCAGACGCTTAACGACTGAGCCACCCAGGCGCCACCTAAACATCTGACTCTTGATTTTGGTGCAGGTCATGATCTCAGAGTTGTGAGACTGAACTCCATGCTGGGCATGGAGCCTGCTTAAGATTCTCTCTCTCCCTCTGCCCCTCCCCCTCCCTCTCAAAAAATAGGTATAGTATTTGTGAAACGTATTTATTGGGCAGCTGCTATGTACTTGCATGGTGCTGGAGCTAGAAAGATGAGTACAATATACTTGTCTTCAAGGAGCAAACACACTAGGGGCACCTGGGTGGCTCACTTGGTTGGGCATCTGCCTTCAGCTCAGGTCATGACCCTGGAGTCCCAGGATTGAGCCCCGCGTCTGGATCCCTGCTCAGTGGGGAGTCTGCTTCTCCCTCTGCCCCCCACCCCTCTCGTGCTCTCTCTCAAATAAATAAATAAATAAAAATCTTTAGGAAAAAAAAGGAGCAAACACACTAGCTGGAGATTCATTTAGAAGTATTTATTCAGCACTTTGAAGTGTCCAGCACCAAGCAAGTGATAAATAAATCCCTCTTGACTTTTATCTGCCGAAAGGTGGTGATGAGTACCAAGGAGGTGATGAGTATCAAGGAGGGCACTAAATCCAGCCCAGGAGGAGGGGAGGTGGAGGCAAGGCAAAGTTTCCTAGAGGAAGTGATGACTGATGGTCTTCCGGGATGGGTGGGGGTCTGCTGGCTGAGGAAGGAGGTGGACCAAGCAGACCTTCAGAGACCTGGCCTGAGGAGAGGACTGTACACGTCAGCAGGGAGCACTGAGCCGTGTGGGGTGAAAACAGCCCTCCTCCCACCCGGAAAGGTAGGGTGCAGGGATTAAGTGTGGGGATGTCTGCAGCCACCCCAGGCAGAAGGCTCGCTTCACCCACTTTACTGCATTGCCTGGAACATAGACCCTTAAACAATGAGATTTCAGATGCACAAAGTCAGAGCCTCCCAGATCATGTTCTGTCGAGCACAAGATGCACATGTCCATTGTGGGAAGTCCACAGTTCTCCAGAAGGTTTGGGCAGCTTTTCACCTGCTCATCACAAGAAATAAGTGCTTTGAGTTACACACCGGGAAATGCCATGTCAGCACTCAGGTGGCGTGGGTGCCAAGTGGTGGGTCTCATAGGTCCGATTCTCCCTAAAGAGGCTGTTCTCTGCGAGGTGAACACAGCTAGCTGAGGGAAGGCAGCTGCAGATGTGTAATGGTGAGAAGACCCAAAAGAGAAAGTGCAAGCCGTTGTCCAGTTGACTGACCTTCACCTTCCCCCACTGCCCATTCGTTCCGGGTGCAGTAAGCCCTCAGCTCTCCCAAGTGCCAGCCTTATGCTATGGCTGGAAGACATTTGCTCCCTTCTTTGGCTTCTTTGCATTCTTCTGACCTCTTAAGACCATGGTGACTCACGAGGGCGCCTGGGTGGCTCAGTAGGTTAAGCCTCTTGGTTTTGGCTCAGGTTGTGAGATAGAGCCCCTTGGCAGGTTCCATGCTCAGCTCGGAGTCTGCTTGACTCTCTCCGTCTCCCTGCTCCTATCCCTGCTCTCTACAATAAATAAATCTTAAAAAAAAGAGAGAGAGAAAAAGAGGCAGGGGCGCCTGGGTAGCTGAGTCAGGTCATGATCCCAGGGTCCTGGGATCGAGCCCCGTGTTGGGCTCCCTGCTCAGTGGGGAGTATCCTTCTCCCCCTCCCTCTGCTCATGTGCCTGTGGACTCTCTCTCAAATAAATAAAATCTTAAAAAGGCAATAGCGACTCACGTGGATATTAAAGTCACTGGCTGTTCTCTTAGCTGGAATATCAATTGGGAGAACAGTAGGAATTCTTGAGGGGGAGAGATTGGGAAATAGTTTGATCTATTTTGGTCACTAGATGTTTGAGAAAATTATGCTAGGAATTCTGGTTTTCAGAGTCAAAGCTAGCTAAATTTTTTAAGTGAAAGCTACACGAGTCACCGCTCACCTCTATTGATAACGTCAGGCTTATCACTGAGGGTTGGTCATCCAGAGGGTCTGAGCTACTCTTGGACATCAAAGAGGAGGAAGTAGTCCTTGGGTCACTTACACTGAGCAATCAGAGCCTGAGCCAGCTGGGGTCAGGGGTGGGGCTGGCTGAAGCCTCGGGGTCTGAGGGATTTGGTGTCAAAAGGCAGCGGGGTCAGCATGGGCTCCTGGGAACAATGTCCCCCGAGAGGCTGGCAAGTCTCAGAGGCGCGAGAGGCTGAGCCAAGCCTCCAGAGCATTATGCGTTGTGCTTCCTGTGCCGAATGCCACCAAAAGGCCCGGGCCATGTGGTCCGAGGGGTCTGGATCTGGCCCTCTGGTGGCAGTTGGGGCGGAGGAGTGAGCAGGAGCAGTGGGGGCAAGCTAGTTAGCGGGAGGTGAGGCTCCAGGAGGCAGGAGTGAATGGGCGGCGGGAACCCCGTCTGACCCGCCCCCCCAGCCAGGCCCTGTAGCCTCTGCCCTCAGGTGTTATTTACACTTTCATTGTGCTGCGGGAACTGCTGCCCCTGCTGCCCCCCCACCCAGGCTCCTGTCCCCCCAGCTGTGACTCCAGGGCTCCTGTACCTCTGCCCTTGTCCCCCAGCCCTTTCTCAAACTGTGCAGCGAGAGCTCTTCACAAACTAATGCGGGTCATCGTGAAGGCAAGGTCCAAGTTGCCCTTGCCTGGAAGAGCCGCCAGCCAGCCAGCAGCTCTGCTCCTGCAGGGGGAGCCACGGGGCACGGTGGTCTCTCCAGACATCACCTCCCAAGCCCCGGCCAAGGGAACCAGCCCCTCCCTGACCTTCCTTATGGCTGCTGGACTGCACCACGAGGTCCTGGGCCAACGGGAGCTCCGGCCTGTTCCCTCCGGGCGCCCAGCGCCGTGCACGCTGCACACAGCAGGTAGCTGCTTCAGAGTTCATGGGTACACAGGTGGAGCGTTCCGTTTGTGCTTTTTGGGTGTTAGAGAATGTTTTCAGGTGAAAACAGGGCACAAGAGAAACGTGGACAAGGGAAGCCATGGAAAAGTGGAGGGTGGGGGGACACCCCATCCCCGGGGGCAGGGTGGACGTCCTCGTGGGCAGACGGTGCCGCTGATGGCGGACCCCAGACCATCATCTCTGTGTGCTCACATCCTCTAATGAGTCTGGGGACAAAAGCCACTCATCTGTTACCACTGAACTTGTAGAAATGATGTCATCTTACTTCCATCAGTCTGACAAAAGCAACCATCCTGTCTAGGGACAGGGGAACACAGGACACTGGCACCTGGCTAAGCACCCTAAACAAGGTGCTCACATGGGGCTGGTGGGGGCGCACTTCAGTTCCCAGCGGCAATCACAACCCTCCGAGCTTCCGGAAGCCACAGAAAATTCGACTCACGTTCCAGCGTTGCTTTTTTTATCAAGGCCAACTTTGATACGCCGAATGGAAGGCAAGATTCTCCCAGCTTCGACTCCGCTTGGGCCTGGCTTCTGGAGCTCCCGGGAGCTGCCCTCTGTCATCACGGCCACCTCACCGCTTCCGTCTGCCTTGGTCTGTTGCCACTGTAAACAAACCGACCCGCCGTCCCCCTGGGCAGGGACTGTGGCACCTCCCTGGTCGCTGCCATCCCCAACCATTTGGGGGACCCGTCAAGGCAACTGCGCTGGGGGCTGAGCCCCAGCACCAGAAGACTCAGGAGCCAAAACAGGTTTTATTCAGATCCGTGGTTGGTTACAAACTTGGTCACAGGCCCCAGAAGGCCATTATTCTGAGTTTACATGGAAATATAAAACTCGACATGTACAATTTGAAAACTTAAAAACAGAAACAAAGGCTTGGTTTAAAATCGCTGTTGAGATGTTTTCCCTGGTGCGTCACCTGGATGATGAACGAAAGTGCCTGAGACCCGGTGGGAAGGACTTCTGACCGTGAATGTGTAACTGAACATTTAAATGTCATCAGAAAGTTAGGGCCTTTGCACCTGATTTTACTGAAGATACAAACAATGCCTGTGACCATCTTTGGTTGCAGCCCAGACGATGCCCGACTCCTGCCGCGTCCCCTCCACCCATGGAGTATGAGTGCCTGTCCTGACGAGGCAGTGAGGCTGGGCCACCACAAAGCGACATGCTTAATGGCTTGGGGACGAGGAGGGAGCCAGAGGTGAAGCACCGTCCCACTGAGCATCTGTGCTCCTGGAGGATCTTTTCTCCAACAGAGTGGAATTGTATGGCCCAGCCTCGGAATTGCCGGGACCGCGTGGAGAATGACCTTCATTTGCCAAATGTGATGGGAGGTTAGGAATCAGAGAACCACCCACCCTCTAACTTTCTCAGGAACCTCCAGGGTTTTGGATTCTTCTCTGGAACCAGAGGCCGAGCTACTGTCCTGCTGTCGCCAGGGAGAGGAGACTCGCACCACCCTGCCAACCTGACGGACGGCGAGGCCCCACCCGGGGAGCACGGCCTCCCAAGCTTCACACAGCTCGACCCAGGACGGTCAGAGAAGAGAAAGGCCCCAAGAGCCATGTCACTGCAGAGCCTGGGGCCGAGGGAAGCAGAGAGGAGCAAGCGGCCGGGTCCAGGGCTGCCCTGTGAGACTAACAGGCCCGTTGATGCCATGCTCTTCCTTGCCAAGCCTGGACCACACGCCTCCTGTTTTAGCTTCTCTTACACACGCCTCCGTGGCTGCAGGAAAATGCACCGTCGCTCAGAGGTAGCCGCAGGCTCAAGAGGGGGGCCATGTGGCCCCTCTCGCTGGCTGGGCCAGGGCAGCGCCGGGCCGAGGTCAGAGCTGGTGCAGCTTGCTCCGCTCAGTCAGCAGCGTCATGGCCACAGCGTAGAGGAGATAGCCCAGCACGAGGAGCAGGGCGCAGGCCAGGGGCCCGATACAGAACAGGGAGGCCACGAAGAAGGCCAGAAGCAGCGAGAGCAGCGTCCGGTAGCTGCCCAGGAAGCGCAGGCTGAGCCTCGGGCCCCGGGCACGGCTGACTGTGGACCCCCGTGCCACGGGGCTCAGCAGGTGCCTGCCCGTCAGCCCAGGCTCCATGAGGTGGTAGCGGCAAAAGCTGCCGAGGAAGTCGGCCCGGGAACACAGGGCTGCCATCCGGCCTGCAAACTGGGGCGCAGACAGAGGCGGGGGCAGTGGGCGCGGGCAGGGCCGCACACTCACCCGGCCTCTCCCCGAGGGCCGCCCACCCCCCGGCACTCACCCTGTGGTTGATGGCGGACGACAGCTGGAAGAGCATGCGGACCAGGCTGGCGATCTCGTAGCTCCGGATGGGCTGCAGCTCCAAGTCCCCCTGGTACTCGATGTCAAACCTCCGCAGCCCATTGATGATCTAGAAGCAGGATGAGAGGCGAGCCCCGGGGGAGCCCGGGCCGAGCGGGCAGACCCGCCAACACACCCGTGCGGGCGCGTCCAAGGCGATGGGGGACGGGAGGAGCCCTCCTGGACCCGGACCTTACCTGGTACCGGCCCAGGGGCGTGAGGATGAGCCCGTCCTCTCCCACGATGCAGTCCGGGAGCTGCTTCTTCCCGTTCTCGTCCCGCGTTGTCCCCAAGGCGAGCGTGAGCTGCGCGAGCTGGGCCTCGCTGAGCTGTTGGGGGGGGATGCGCTCTGAGGAGGCTGCGCTGCTTCCTGCTTTCACTTTCCAGGTGAAGGGAGGACACGGGGCTTCGGCCCTGGGCCTGGAACAGCGACCGCGAGGGGACCCAGACAGGACCTCAGCGGTACAGGCTACACCTCCCACGGGCCCCCACAGCAGGGAGGGGGCGGCCCCCACGGCCCGTACTCGGAACACCTGGCACAGGTACTCCAGGGCCTTCTCTAGGTACTCGTCTGTCTTGCGGACACTGTCCTGCCCCATCTCGTCCAGGTCGTTGGCTGGGTAGCAGCCGTTGGCGTCTGTGGAGCAGAAGCCCAGCCACGACAGGAAGGGGCGGCCCGGCGTGCTCTCCCCGCACTGGTCGGAGATGGACTTGGCGGTCTGCTTGGCCTGCGTGATGAGCTGAGCCAGGCGCAAGACCTGCGGGGTGCGCGGGCCCGTCAGCCGGCATCGGTGGGCCGCTTCGTGCCGCCTGGCCACCAGGGGACTGGCAGGTGGCCCTGCGGGAGCCCCCAGCAGCTCAGGATGGGCCGAGGAGTTCTTAAGACTACGACATGCATATTCTAAATGTGAAAGCTTCCCAACAAATGCTGCCTTTATTATCAGAAAAAAATTAGACCTCAGTGGAAAAAAAAGGCTAGGAGCCAAGCAGCGTCCAGGCGACACCCAACCTTAGTTCCCCCCTGCAAGGCGTGTGCGCCAACCCCCCTGCAGTTCCCACAGCCTCCGGACGGCCGTGTGGCCCGGGGGAGCCCCAGCTCACCAGCGTCCGGACCTCGGGCCCAAACATCGGGGTGTACTTGCAGTCCTGGCCCTCCAGGCTGTAGACGTGGCTCTTCACCTTGAAGGAGGTGTCGGTGACGGCCGGCGGCCACGAGGACAGGAAGCTGCCGGTGAAGGGGGGAGCCGTGAAGAGTCGGTGCTGGCGGTGCGGGATGACGAGTTCGGGCTCCAGGAAGAGCTGCTCCCCTGGAGAGCACGACACGAGTCTGGCTTTAGCTTCCATGGCACCCAACACCCCGTCGCCACTGGCAGGCTTCCTGGGCGCCCGCGGAGGCTCCCGAGGCCCCTGCAGCCCCCGTCAGTCTCCACGGGAAGGCCGACGTTCACAAAGGAAAGCCAGAGAAGCTAACGCCCCACAGACGCATCTAAGACGTGACGGGAACCAAGACTGCTTTCTGATGCCGCCACCGAGAGTCACCAGGGAGATGGAGCTCTGCACGCTGCCTCCCCTCCCTCTGGCACCCCCACAGCTCCCGCCCGGCATGCCGGGCCTCAGACCTGCCCCCTGCCACCGCGCACCAGGGGCCCCCACGCCACCTTGGCCAGGCCGCTGCAAGCCTGGGAGGCACACGCGGGGTCCGGGGCTCCCTCTCTAAGTACCGCTCCCCTCTCGCGAAGGGCTTACCTTTCTGGATCATTTCAGCCAGGTTGGGCTGGGCAAAGACTTTGGCCACTCGGAACACCATGAGTGCGTTCTTGGGGCTGACCAGGTCGGTGCGGAGTGCGCGGCTCAGGAAGCCCACAAAGAGCTTGGTGTACATGAGCAGGTTCTCCTGCACAAAGGGCGCCCTGGGGACCCAGGCACTGCGTCAGGGGCCACACCTCCCACTGCGCCCCCTGCTCTTCCTTGGCTTCCAGACTCTCCCCAGCCATGACCTCCTGGTGGCTGAGGGACCAGGGAGGTGGGGGAGAACCAGGCCTCCTGGGGACGACACAGTCCTCCCCAGGATGAGGCCCTTCCCAAGAAGACAAGGCCTCTATGGCAGAGCGCTAGTGAAGAAGGGTGGAGGAGGTCGAGGGGCAGTTTGGGGGTGGGTGTGAACGGACACCTGAGTGGACAAGAACAGCAAGGGGACAGCGCAGAGGAGAAAGCCACCAGCTGTTTCTGCGGGAGATCAATCCTGGGGCCCAGGCAACACAGCCCGGTCAAGGGTCAAGGAGGGGGTGGCCTGTCCCACCCCCCCACCTGCCAGGAGGACAGCGTGCCAGGGCTCACCATCTCTCCGACACACAGCGGGGCTGGCAGTCACTGGTCTGAGCCTGCTTCTCAGGTGCATACCTCCAGGGCTGCAGGTAGCTCAGCCACATCTCCAGGACCTGGTGACACGTGTGCGCTGAGGGCCTTGCAGCCGGCGCTCCAGGGAGCTGTGGGGCTGCGGCTTTGGGCCAAATCTGGGGGTGGCCTGGAGCCCAGCTCCCGGGAGGCAGCTCGGGTGAGCAGGGATGAGTCTAACTGCGGGGCTTCCCCTGGGGGTGCCACCAGGTTCTGGCCTCTTCCCACCTGCTGCCCTCAGAGGGCCCAGGAGGGAACTCCACACACCCTCCCACGATGCTTATTTTTTTAATTTTTATTTAGTTGACACACAACGCTACATCAGTACCAGCCCGTGTGACGTCGAGCCCTCCAGAAACACGGAACATGGAGTGCTCCCCCCGCTGAGCGGGCGAGGTGCAGCTCGGTGAGGCTGGGACCCCACCCGGCATGGACACCTGGGGTCAAAGTCAGGGCGCACAGAGTTTTTCTGTACCTGAGGGTTGGCTCTGGAAATTCAAACGAGCAGAACGAGAGCCCCCAAGGCCTCCTCACCAGGCCTTGGCAGTAACAGCTGATCCCTCCTGCGCTCACCCCACAGAACCTCCCCCGGGGCACACACAGGGCAAGGGCGGCGAGATGGGGCTGACACTCACAGCTCTGAACGACGCATCCAGGGGCCAGTGGCCGAAGCAGTGCTGCAGGAAGAGGTAGAGCTTCTGCTGGACAAACCTCGGAACGGCGGCCCTGCAGGGGAGAGGAGGGGAGAGGGTCCCCTCATAGGCGAGCCCAGTGTCTCCCGCTTGCAAGGGCCAGCTCTGCCAGGGCGAACGAGGGGCACTCCCTGGAAGTAAGGTCTCCTACTTTCGGGCCCATTTTTCAGAAGAAGAAACCAGAGTTCAGAGACGTTAGGTAAGGTCCCAAGGTCACACAGCACACATGTGGATGATCTAGTGAGGCTCCTGTGACCACCTCTGCTTGGCTCGCCAGATACAAGTCACCTGCTCTGCTGGCCCCAGTCAGCCTAGGAATCAGGCCACCATCCCAGCTCTTCTGACGGAGGGAAGGAGGAGCAAAGAGGAAGAGTGGGGGAGGGCGCAGCACAGAGCTCAGTCTCCAGTGACAAATGAGCCACTTTGCGGTGAAGGGGCTCCCAGCCCACTGGCTTTCCTGGGCGTTCCGAGGAACGCGGTCACGGTAGAGCTCCCACTTTGCCCACTGCTGGGGAGGAGGGAACAAGACAGGGCAGCAGGACGGGGCCTCTCTGGCCAGTCTGGCTCTTTCCACCAAAGAGCGCAGGCCTCGAACGAGAGGCCTGAGTGGGGGTGGGGAGATAAACCCACGGTGATGTCCCACCTGCCCCACCCTGCAGAGGCCTCACAGGCCGTCCCTCACACCCCAGGGACAGGTCACTGCGGGAAACGTGCGTGCAGGACGAGGCAGCCAGGGGCACAGGAACCCTGTGCACGGCCCTGTACCCACCGTTTGAACTCCTCCAGGGGGCTGGTGGCGTGGGAGTGGGCGGAGGGAGAGACCTGCTCGGGCTTCAGGCTGTTGGAAAAGGCGTGCAGATGCTTTAGCAGCAGGCGCACCACCAGCACGTGCTCCTCGGTGGGCGTGAACGACTCCTAACGTTGGAGGGGGGTCAGTGTCAGGACCCAGGCCAGTCTGGGGTGGGGCCCCCAGGTCTGGCCATGTCCCGTCCAGAACCGTTTCTCCCCCACAGGATGCGTGGGCCACCCCCAGGGCCCTCCCCGCGCCTCGCTCGTTGGCCCTGAGACCTGCTAAGAGCACCTGCAGGCCCAGGCAACACACCTGCGAAGGGCTTCACTGTGGGCTTCAAACCCTTTTGTACCCTCCGTGGCTGACTTGGGTCATTGCTGCCCATCCAAGTCCTCAGGGTCCCCACCTCCTGGCCAGCCAGAGGAGCAGGAGGGGGCGAGGCAGGCCGGCATCCCCACCCCCCCACCCCCTGGATCTAGACTCTGGGTCTCCTGCCTGCCTCCCGGGTGTGTGGAGACAGCTCCCTGGGGGCCTGGCTTCCCTTTTCAGGCAGAAACGCTCCCCAGTTCCTTATCCCGCTGCAACCCCCACCTTTCCCTCCACTCCCTGTTCTGGACCCGCCAGCTGGGGGCTCAGCCCAGGGTGGCCCTTCTATTGCTAACGGACCTGTGGTCAGCACGACCCCCAAGACAAGAGCACGCTCAATCTGGTGGGCTGAAGTTCCGATTCACCAAGTTCACGTAGGCTCTTTAAGACTCAGACCTGAAAGGACAGCCTGCCTGCTGGCTGTGCCGTGACGGAGAACAGGGTGGTCCCCTGACTGGCAGAGGATGGCACCAGCAGGCCCCGGCTACCTGCCAACTCTGGGGTGCCCAGACATGCTCCTCTCCCCACACTCACCAACCCCAGGCCTCTGGGGCCTCCACAGACTCGACAGAGGAACTTTCGGAAGCCTAGTCCGGATCCCGACAATGTTGCGGCTGGCAGAGGCCATGCCTCCTGGCACGGCCCGGGCACCCAGCCGCCGCCCCGCCACGGATCTACCTCCGCAGGCCCAGGCAATGCATCCCATGCCCAGTGCGCCCGTGCAGGGAGCTATGGGGCTTTGTGAGAGCGGCTGCTGCTTCTCTGTGTGTTTAAGTCTTTGTGTGATGAATTTGCATCATTTGCAGAAAAAAGCGTAAGATACTTCCATAATAACGAAATTTCAGAGGGCACTGATGCCAGGCTGTAATCTACCCCCCGCGTCCCCAGGGGCCTTGCCCTTTCTCATTCCTGGGCCCTTGCCGACCCCACCACTGTCTCCGCAAAGGACAGAACATCCGCGCTGAACCAGAACTGCGCCCCCTCCTCATCCGCACAGGCCCTTCCCGTCACACTGGAAGCCCCTCGGGCCGTCTTCCCGCTGGGGGAAGCCAAATCTTTCTTCCGACCGCCTCTCCCCCATGCCCCCACCGAGCCAAATCCCCACGGGAGCCTGGCCACAGCTGCACGTGGCCTCCTCCAGCTGCATGCCCTTTAGGGACACTTTCCCAAAGCCTGGGCCACTTCTTACTGGGCTCAGCCCTTAGCTAAGCAACCTCTCCTGCCATGGACGTTTCTCCAGGGATCCTGCTCTGAGCCCGGTGAGACCTTCCCCAACACAGGCTGGAGTGCTACCCGCTTCTGTGCTCAGCCCGCCCCTGCCGGCCCTTCCGGGACTGTTCTCTTCCTTCCTCCCAGCAGCTGCTGCTTCTGAGAGGGAACCCTGTGTGTGCTCACCACCCCATCCCAGCAAACCCGATTTCTCATCTTGCACTCAAGTATCCGGTTAAGTGTTATTGTGTGCTCCCACCGAGGGCAACCGGACAGACCCCTGGCCTTGAGCACGGACCTAGACACATGCTTTCTGCCCAGACTTCGTGGCGTTCATCTTGTGAATCGTGAGCTACCAGACTCCATCAGCCCTGAAACAGCCTGCAGCTCTGAACCCTACCTATCAACCTCAAACCCGTCCACACCGGTCATCCCTGCCTAACGAGGCCCTCACCCATTCTTGCCCGCCTCTGGAGGAGCGCCCAAGTCCACAAGAGGCCAGGGCCCGGTGTACTCAGGGATCGACAGCCTCTGCAGGCTGGGGGGCCGAGCCCTTGTCCTCCCCGCCCCTTGGCCTCACAGAGGCTTGGGGTCAACAGAGCCCACCACCATGAGCCGCAGGGTGTCCCTGTGCTCAGTGAGGTCCTGAGCGCCAGGCCTGCACTGCGGGTGGGGAGGGCCGCTGCAAAGGCCACACTGTTTCCACTCCTCCGACCAGGGCCAAGCACAGAAGCCACCGACTCCCAAGAGCTTGCAAACTCCGGCTGGCCTGGGGCTTGGCCAGACAGATCTGGGGGCCTCACCCCCCCAAACCTGGGCTAGTCTGCCAAGCTGAGGGCCAAGGCAGGCTAAAGATGGCCACTCGCCACCATCCCCAACACACACTGGCCTTGCTCTGTTTGGAACTGGTCTGAGTCACCCCAGCCGGCCCCCGGCAGGCCCCTCGCTTTACCACTGCACTGCCATGCGCTCCATGGCTCACACCACAGGGCAGGGGTGAAACGGAACAATAGGAGAGCAGCCAGTACTTGGTAGGCGTGCAGGGCCTGGAGGCTGGGTTGGGCGGGGCTGTGGAGGGCGCTGGACACACTGAGTCGGTAGTGCAGAACCTCCAGCTGAGAGACAACAAAACAGAGAAGCCGAGAAGAGGCGGGGAGGGCAGAGGGCAGGGCAGGGGACAGGAGGGGA